TATAAATAGAAAACAATGAAATTTTACCATGGATACTGGTAAAATAATTTGTACAAATTTATTATTTATGTAACCGGATATTATGTCTAGTTAATTCAGTTACAAAAATAATATTTCGTACAATAGAATCACGATTATCCGAACATTCGATTATCCGGACTTATACTTCACGGCTCTAATTACCGATTTACAAATGGTATTATGTATTAATTGGGCAAATAAGTATTATATAATCCACTATCTTTAAAGCTCGTAATAATTTTTGTATCGTATTTTTGAAATGACGTACTTAAAACCTAATAAAAAATATAAAATTTAATTATTAATTTGACTTCGAAATAGGTTATCCGGATTTTCGATTATACGGATTACCTCCGATTTTATTTGATTCGGACAATCGAGAAACTACTGTTTATTATCTATATTTGTGTATATTTTATTATTATTTCAGCCGTTAACAGTCCACTGCTGAACATAAGTCTTCCCCATAAAGGAAGTTTCGCCAGTAGTTGCCACGCTTGCCTGCCAAGCGGCAAGCGCAGTTAGGCTTTTAGAAAAGTTTTAAGAGATACGCTGCTGCCGATCCCTCGCCCTCCCTTAGTCGCCTCTTACGACACCTACGGGAAGGGGAGGGGCGGCCCATTCTATGCCTATAGTTTATTACTGTATGTAAATTGAAACAATCCAAAAAAAAGTCCCGAGTTTAATCATTTTACTATCAAAATCACAGCTCAATTAGTTATTTTATCAATTTATACGCCTATAACAATAATATTACACATAGCTTTTATTATAATGTAGTAGTAAAAGATAAAGCATGTGGCAGATTAGATATGTACATACATCCCTAATTATATAAACTAACATTAACTGCATACGTAACTCGATTATAAATTTATATATAGATAAATAAGTTTTTTTTTTTTTATGCATCTTAGAATGGCAAACAATCTGACGGCCCACCTGATGGAAAGTGGTAACCGTCGCCTATAGACATAAGCAGTACCATGGACATACCATTCCTGAGGACTCAGGTGTTACTCCTCTGTACCCAGTAAATTCACGCCATATCCCACCCTTCAAACCGAAACACAGCCATGCAAACACAACTGCTTCACGGTTGAAACACGAATGGGACAGAGGTACCCAAGCAATCGACTTTTGTACAAAGTCTCCCTCTGGTGAGATGTAATATAATAATTTAATGATTTTTTTACACAAATTATCAAAGAACACACTCTAAATAAAATTTAACAAAACGAAACATTTAATGAATTAATATATTTTTGGACTGTATTATTATCGTGCGATGACTGCAGTTTGGTGTGGCCTTTGCCCAGCAGTGGGACACCATAGGCTATTATTGATCAATAATTATTGATTATTGAACACTCTACCGAAGTTTTTCCAAGAGACTACAGCTTGACAGCCACCCCTGACAGGCGTTCATAGGCTACGTAACCGCTTACTATCAGGTGGGGCGTATGCTTGTTTGCCACCTTAGTGATATAAAAAAAAAAACTACTAGTTGGGTCAATTAATCGTTTCTACATATTTTCACTTAATAAAATTTGTACCGGATTTTTTTTTTAAATGAATGATAATGGAATGGTAACCCCACCTCCGCTATCGGTATACACCGGCGGGGCACCAGTGAAGGATGATAGGTGGGGATGAAGCAGGTCTGTTAGCCCATCGTGACGAATTCAACAAGAATTGTTCACGATGGTTTCCAGGGGGAACCACGTGGAGGTCGACCTAATAAGGTATATTGCTAGCAATGGGGCTGTCAAACTCCATTGCTAACAATCCTTTTCCCCCCAGTACCTGATTTATGTCATACAATTTATTTAATGAGATAATTTATTTTCATTGTTCTCGAATAACTAATGCAGTTAACATTAAGGTGTTAGTCATTAATCGAGATACCTTTTAAACAATAGTATTGTCCCGTCTCATTGTGTACGGTTATCTACTGCCTGCGTAATTGTGGTTATTTTCTTTAAGCAAACTCAAGAAAAATCTCATCACCATCATCATCACCATCATCATCCCCATTATCATCACCAGCATCATAATACCACCAAATAATAATAATATTTTTTTTTATACAACTTAAAATGGCAAACAAGCTGACGGCCCACCTAATGGAAAGTGGTAACCGTCGCCTATAGACATGAGTAGTAATTACCATAAGGGGAGAAAGGGATTGTTAGTAATTAGGTCAAATAGCCCCATTACTAGCAATATACCCTGTCAGGTCGACCTCCACGTGGTTCCCCCTGGAAACCATCGTGAACAATTCTAGTTGAATTCGTCAGAATGGGCTAACTGACCTGCTTTCATCCTCATCAATCATCTATCACTGGTGCCTCGCCGGTATATACCGATTGCGCAGGCGGGGTTACTATACCATTATCATAAAAAAAAAATTACCATAAAACATTAAGAGGAGGACCAGTCATCATCATTTAAACCATTCACTGCCAAACATAAACATTCCCTATAAACTGTCACAAAGAACAAAACAAACCTATAAAAAGTATAAAAGGCAAGGCTGACAAGACTTTGTATCTAAAAATATGTTTAACTAGCTTTTACTGGAACTATAATATGTCTGCATGTTTGTAAACATAAATATAAGTAACAGTATATCTCCCATATAATATGTTTATAGCAAAATACCAGAGGGAGACTTTGTACAAAAGTTGTTTGCTTGGGTACCTCTGTCCCATTCGTGTTTCAACAGTGAAGCAGTTGTACTCGGATGGCTGTATAAAAAAAAAAAACAGATAAATCAGGTCAAACTCCACACAGTTACCTCTGGTAACTATCATGGTTTATAATTATTGAATTGGCCAACTGACTTCCTTTATCCTCACCTATCATCCCTCACTGGTGCCTCGCCAGCATATACGTGTTTCTTATGTTAACTACCGCCATTGTATTAAATTTCATACAGTCCACTAATAACTGTTGCTGGACGATTAATTTCATTTTTTTTGTAAGATCTTATTTTACGAACGGTTAACAACTGAGATAGGATAACTATTAAACTTTCACCAATATTAAAACCTCTTTACCTCATTTTTGTAGTTATTAGTTATTACAAATAATGAGAGTAAAGTAAGGTAAACTTATTCTAAAAGACATCTCTTCCAGTCTTGAGTGGGTATAAGTAGGACAAAAGAGTATTAAAAACATAAATTTAAATACTACTTGTGCAGAATGCACCTTTTTAGAGTATATTTTTAAATTTTATATTTTTATTTTGTTTATTTTTTGATATCTGACAATGTCATGATTCAGTTATTATATATTTTTCTCTACCACTAGCAGCGACCGTCTTATTATTTCATAAAATATACAGTCCTTTTTCAAGAGCATATATCTCGTTAAAACTACTAAATATATATAATATTTATGTAAGTTTTTTTTTTATACAACTTAGAATGGCAAACAAGCTGACGGCCCACCTGATGGAAAGTGGTAACCGTCGCCTATACACATGAGCAGTACCATGGACATAACAGAGTATACTGTTTCGCCCATGATACCCCCTCATGCGTTGCCATTCCTGAGGACTCAGATGTTATTCCTCTGTATCCTGTAAATTTACGCCATATCTCACCCTTCAAACTGAAACACAGCCATGCAAACACAACTGCTTCACGGTTGAAACACGAATGGGACAGACACGAAGTCTCCCTCTGGTATATAGTATATTTTTACTTACATAAATTATGTAAACACAATAACTGTTGTATTCTAAAGTGGAGAATTTATAAAAAAAGAGTCAGTCTGCAGATGTTATCCTCACCAGAGTGATTAAGAGATATAAAAATAGATATTTTAGTTAGTATATTATAATGACAATATTAATCATGTTGCAGTAAAATGGTAATATGATTTTAATGATTTTTTTAATAAACCAATAGAGGGACTTAATCTTTTTTTTTTTAATGGGTGATAATGGAATGGTAACCCCACCTGCGCTATCGGTATACACCGGCGGGGCACCAGTGAAGGATGATAGGTGAGGATGAAGCAAGTCAGTTAGCCCATCGTGACAAATTCAATAAGAATTGTTCACGATGGTTTCCAGGGGGAACCACGTGGAGGTAGACCTAATAGGGTATATTGCTAACAATAGGGGTGTCAATCTCCATTCCTAACAGTCCCTTTCCCTCCCATGAAACCATAGAGGGACTACTTTGTATCTATAAATGGAAGTCATTCAGCTATGCAGCATGGATTGCAAAGGAGTTACTCATAAATTGAGTTCAATAATGGACAATGGCAGACTGAATTTCTTATGTAGTAATGACAAGTGCTATATTAAATTAGGAATCAATGAGAATTTAAATATTCCTACATACTTTTAAGCTTTACAATTAACTGTAAACCCACAACATTAAAAATCTACTTTTAGTATTTATACTAAAAAGTACATTAGTAATAAAACCATATTTTATTATACTCTGAATCCTGTTACATTGTACATTAGACATGCATGTTATATATAACTTATACTGAACTTTTGATAAGAGTATATAAATATCAGACATATTCAACCAAAATAGAGTATCTACTGTTACAGAATTACTAGTTTCTTAAGCAAAAAATAAATATATTCAATCTAAATATTACATGTACTAGACTACGGACTATTGTTAGGCTGTAAAGAACAAAAATCTATACAAAGATTATAAATATAACCAAACAATGTGCAAAGCAAACTACAACAGTATCCACGGGCAGTGTGAGGCCAATTTGGATGTATTTATAGCACTACATTCAACCACCGAGCTAATAGTGAAGCTAACTCTAAAAACTAGTACCGCCTGGAAATGTATCATAGACTTGGTTGAATACAGGTGTTCCTTAGTTTAGTTGTACATTAAAAAAAAAATACGTGCAAACATAAGTGGCGGGTGTAAATTTGCTATACCAACGGAAACGAATAGGACAATTACATGCAAGTCTCTCACACAGTTTACCTCCGCCGATGTCCATGGCAATACATAAAATGTCTCCGCGGTGGACACCTCACAGCGGTCTTTCCGCACACAACAGTATCAAAACGCACATAGTTTTAACTTCATCATAACAAGCAGATTTCACACTTCCCAGTGTCAAAGCTTTCTAATGAAAACACACAGCACGTCACTATTTCAATAATTAAGATTATTTACCAAAAATTCGGTAAGAACTCACAAATTCGACTTCACAAATTGTAAACTAATAACATACCTCCTCAGGCATGAACGATCCTATAATAACTGTCTCTTCGCTGTCGGTCGTCCAAGGAACTAGATATCAAGGTCTCGCGTTTCGTCTCGATCGCAGCAAACGCGCTTCCTAGAATCGCGTAAGGTTATGTCGCGAACTTTGCCACTTCAAAACTAACACAACTTATTCTAACACTAAAACATTAATGTTCGTTGTCGTAATCAAAAAGGAGCAAGTTATTTTTATATTGTTCATTAGAAGTTGGTAAAGTTTCTTCTTTGAACGAACGTCAAAAACTGATGAAGTGATGATAATTCACTCAGGTGTGCGTGAATATGTACATACAGTACGTCACACTTATAAACACTAGTTACGATTGGCTACAGAGATGTCACATGGCCAATTTGACGTAGATGGACACTGCGCATGCGCGCAGTAGCGCGCAATGAATTTAAAACTTTTCTATTTGAAGGTGAGTAACTAAACGCATACCAACTCAAATATTAAAAATAACTGGTCTGAATCTTAAATAAACATTATTATTTTATTAGAAATCTATATCCTTTAAGTTTTTTTTCAAACGATATACAATCACTTTTAAAATTTAATATAGCAATGTTTACATTTCATTATATTCCATATCACGCAGATTTTAAATAAGTTGTGTTTTGTTTTTGAAATGTTATTCTAACTCTTGTTAAAGATAGATTAACTAAATTTGTACCTGTCTATGATAAACAGAGGTATAGTGATACCTTAGTCCTTAGATTATAAATTATATAAATTGGCAATGTAAAAGAGGGAAAACGTAATAACATACATGTTAGAGTGAGATAGAAAAGTAAGACGTTTATACGATATAATCTCGAGGGCGTTTTGGCGGGAGTATTAACATAATAAATAAATTCTTATTATTTTCAGATTTTAGAGTATAATTAATTTTAAGAGAATGAAGTTAGCTAGAGTTAAATAGGGTGTTTATGGATATAACATAAATTCCATAAAATAAACACAAATTTGCGCATTTTCCACGAAATTATGCTATATATTTGTCTTTCTACTAGTTGCGTAGTGTAACATATTTCTTGTCTCTTTATGGTTGTAGCAAGTGCAAGTATAAATATATAGTATTTAATACGGTAACTATATAACAATTATGACAATATAATATTAAATTAAATTTATATTTGCTAAATTTTATTTTGTTTGACGCTTTTGTAAGTATATCCACGAGTTATATTTCTGTTGAACAATAAAAAATGATAAATTCCTCACTTTGATACTATTCATGTAGGTAATAATAATGAAAGTCTACGTGTTTGGACCTATTAGTAAAAAAAAAATAATGCAATAGCACTCTAGATGCCAATATGAAAAGAACATTTTAAATTACAATTCAGATCTTTAAGAAAAGATTTTATAAACATAGCTTCTTTGCAATATTCAGCTGCAGAATTAAATTTTGCTTCCGTGAAAGATCGATACAATTAGCTATCTTCTGGAGCACTATGAAAATATTATAAAATAATTTGTTTCATCAGTCACAAACAAGTTGCTCGGTAATGCATAGATAAAGAAAAGCATTATTGTCTTTAGACAAAGACCTTTTTTTAACAAACGAAACGATCGCAATATAGAGATAATTCAGCTAAATTATTAAAGTTTATTGAAATATTCGTGTTAATCCCCATTCAATTAATGGCAAAAATCTAAAATTTAATAATTATGTCACTTTAATATAAAACAAAATAACTGGCTAAGTACCTATCTTAGACAAACTACTGATGTAAATTATTGCACATACTACAATTTCAGGCGTTTCTAATATATTCATAAATGCATATATACATTATGTATGTGCATACGTCACACCTATCTCTCAACAGTTATATATAGTATAGTATTATATTATTTGTGATTAGACTAAGCAGAAACAATCGGAACGCCAACAAAATTTCAATACCCTGTAATCGGTTATTTAAACAAGATTTTTACAGAGTAATTAAATATATTTATAGTCTTAATTTAACTATGTAATACACTCGAAAGTAATATAAGAGAAAAGTTTAGAAATAATTTCTCTTTTGTAAAACAGACTCGTAGTTATATTTTACGATAAAAATAAACGAAACGAACAGTCTAATTATAATTCGTTGAAAATAATACAGCAATGACTCACGAAGGCTTTAATAAGGGCTCCCGAATATTTCAGTGCGTGGGTGTAACTTTCAGGATGAGTGTTTCAGTGGGCGGGGGGAGAGCGGGTGACTCATAAGACGCGTTACGCATAATGACGCGCGTATCACAGAGCAAGGGTACTGCGTAGCCATTTTAGAGTATCAGCCTTAAAAATTATATTCAATTAATCTACAATAAAAAAAAAACGCCGGTCAAGTGCGAATCGGACTCGAGCAACGAGGGTTCCGTATACAAGTTTTTTTTTATAAAAACTACAAATTTATGACTTTTTCTTAACTTGTGCTACATGACATTGTTTTTTGCCAAATTTCGTGATTCTAGGTTAAAGGGACTACAGGTTTTGATTCCCTTTGTGAATGTCAAAATATGCGATATAAATGGAACATAAACGGTCGTATTTGGTTGCGTCGATTCAGAAGCTTAATTTATTTACTGCTTTAAGAGATTGCATTTGCTGATATTAATTTCAACTTTATATGTGTCATGGCCATGAGTCGCTAAGAAAAAGGCAGACGGACGAATGGACGCTCGGACGGACAAAGAAGTAATCCTATAAGGGTTCTGTCATTTCCTTTGAAGGTACGGAACTCTAAAAATAACAAATCAATAGTACAAAACATTAACATGTGGTCATATGGATGACTCTGGATATGGTGCCAATCCCAATTACTGACAATCCCTCCTCCCCCCGATACATTAAATTGGAAATATTTGAATATAAAACGGGGAAATATTATGTCCTTTTTTTATACAACTTAGAATGGCAAACAAGCTGACGGTCCACCTAATGAAAAGTGGTAACTGTCGCCTACAGACACGACCAGCACCATGAACACAACAGAGTATACTGTTTCGCCCATGATACCCCCCATGCGTTGCCATTTCTGAGGACTCAGGTGTTATTCCTCTGTACCCAGTAAATTCAAATGTCCATTCACAAGCTGATATTGCTTCGCAATAAGCAGTTTTTGTTCTGCGAAAAAATAATTCATTCATTACTAAGAAATATAACATGGAACCAACATATAAACCCTATCGTAAAAAGAATAATCAAAACCGGTAAAGTTCTTTAAAAAAGTTTAATGCGTATTTTTTAATAGAAATGGAGGTAAAATAATGATCCCGCCTGTGTTATCGGTATACACTGGTGTGAACCAGCAACCACATCAAAAATCCATGGTGGTTTCCAATGAAATCGCGCAAAGGTCCACCTAATAGCATATATTGGGGGAAAAGTAATGGAGAGTGAGAATCCCATTGCTAGCAATATACCCAACCAGGTCGACCTTCTCGCGGTTCACCCTGGAAACTATCATGGTTAATTCCTAATGAATTTAAAATGTAAATAAAATTTTGAATGTAAATTAACCATTTTATCATGGGGAGTGTTCTGAGGAATTGTTCGGATTGATACCTGCTGCTGATTTTCACCACCGTACAACCCGCCACAAACTAAAGTTTCATCCCAATCATCTGGACGAGTGGCGGTCTTCCACCGTGCATTTTTCAAGGCACTTTCTTCCACGCATAACCATTCTTTGGAAACAACTTCCAGCAGCAGTATTTTCGAACCGATACGACAACATAACCTTCAAGGAAAGAGTATATTCCTTTTTAAAAGGCCGGCAGCACACCTGCAATGCCGCTGGTGTTGTGGGTGTTCATGGGCGGCGGTAGTCACTTACCATCAGGTGAGACGCATGGTCGTTTGCCCCCTGTGTTGTAAAAAAAAAATTGCGAAAACTAAATCACTGTCCGTCCTACCTCTATCTACGTAAATAGTTTTTACAACGACGTAAATACGTACGTATCTATAAAATTTTAAATTTAAGACATATTAACGCTTATTACCATAACATGTTTGAGAGCCCTGTTATGGTTACCATAATAACATATTGATATGCAAATTAAATCACATAATATATATTAAATAGTAGAGTATCAATAGACTTGATCGAGTATGGTGGTCATGGTATTATTACCTACCTATTTGGTTATAAATGTTGAAGGGTCGAATTAAATGTTTTATATTTTTTAATCAGTTGATTTATTATTATTATTATTTATAGTTTTACAATATTTTAATTGAAATGTGTGACAACACATTGGTTTTAATTATTAAGTATTATTTTTAACGAATCACAGAGTAGTAATATAAGAAAAGAAAGCTGTCAGCATAGAGTATACATATATAATTTTTTTTTCAATTAGTAGACTATCTTTAACAATAAATGTATAAATCAATCGACTCAAAAAGAAGGAGTATCTAAATTCTTTTTATGTTTAATACCTCATAACTCCATTGGTTGTAAACCAATTTGGAAAAATATTTTTTTATCTGAAAGGATATACTTACAGTTTATACTCATAGAAATTTTATTAAAATCAATTAAGTAGTTTATTTTTTTTTTTTTTAAATAACTGGCTAAGCCACAATTGTAGTCGGTTTTTTTTTTTGTTTAATCTTTAATTTACCAATACGTTTAATATTATAAAAATGTAAATTATGTACCCAGTTCACTAATTCCAAAACGTTGGAACATGAGATAAATATTTTCACTGTGTAACATTTCAGTAACGTAGTAAACACGGCACAAACGAACAAACACTGGCTAGTCCTGCGATCACTTTGTCATATGTGATGAATAATAGAGGTAAGTGAGTTTTATACATATACATAAGTAAAGATAATATTTTTCCTGTTTTTTTTTTAAAGTGTCTTTCAAGGATGTGTGTGAGGATATGAGTAAAAGACCAAACTGACAATCATTATCTATGATAAAGTAAAAGAGAAAGTTGGAAGCAATGAACTGTTAGTGACGGGGGCACCAGTTTTTTTTTTAATGGGTGATAATGGTATGGTAACCCCGTCTGCGTTATCAGTATACAATGGCGGGGCACCAGTGTTAGTTGACTAATGAGGATGAAAGCAGGCCAGTTAGACCATCCTGACGAATTCAACTAGAATTAGCCACGATGGTTTCCAGGGGGAACAACGTGGAGGGCGACCTGACAGGGTATATTGCTAGTAACGGGGCTATTTGACCCCATTACTAACAATCCCTTTCCCCCGGGGGCATCAGTTCCTATTGCCACTAGTATTAGACCGATCTTTTACCAGGTTCCCCCGGGAACCACATTAATTCCTATT